AATCATCACGCATACGTGGGACCGGCAGAGCGTCGCTCGGGCCTCACGATCGCGCTCCATGTGACCGTCTTTTGTCAGATCTTAAACTGCGTTCTACCGTGGGTCTCTGTTCCACCAGATTTATCATTGCCTCCCTGGCAGTTCACGCAATGGAAATTTGTTTCTGTTTACAGACCCTAAAAGCTCTGTGACAACTGCTCATTGTACAACAAAAATTCAAACGTATGGTGACATATTATCGAAATTGCCACTTTATTTATACCCATGGTTCTATGAATGAATGCCTCACTGGATGCGCCGTACTATGCCACATGCATTTTTCACAAAAAGGCAGATTACCCAATCACACTTCTATTTACCTCGCGGAATTATTTGTTCTATTTCTGTCCTTGCAGCGCATAGAACGACAATCTCATGAAACCAGGACTCTGTATCAGTATCAGTCAGTATCAGTATCAGTATCTATCAGGAGTTGCTCCTATTCAAATGCCATGCTCCAATTCAAAGACGGTTTTGCAATCACTTATTAAACCCGATCTAACGCACCACCTCCTCGTCAATATAATTAGCCAGCACCATCATTTACATACACGGGACAATGTAACTAAATCTGTGTAGATTCCAGGCCACAGTGGTATCACAGGGAATGAGCGGCCGACCAATTAGCAAAGGAAGCCTTGACGGACCCTCATATTGCATCCAGCCCTGTTGATCATGCCACTATGAAGACATCCACTCGGTAATTGACAAAACGACTGGCAACGTCAGTGGACAGAAGACAATAGAGCCCATCTTCATGACATTAAACCAGATATTACACCTTGGACATCAGTAAACCGCACAAGCCGTTTGTAGGAAAAAGTCTTGACCCATCTTCGACTTGGACACAAACATCTCACTCGCAGTTATTTACATTTGCAACAGCCACGCCCCCTTTGCCATCCAAGCGACCGGCCTATAACGGTGAAACACATTCCTCTTTAATGTGGCGAATACCGACAACAAAATACTATGCAAGCCTATTTCCGTCGGCACAGCCTGGAATTATCTTTAAAAACCCTGTTAGGTTATGATCATCCACTTCTTCTTGATATTGTTCCATTTTCTAAAACCTATTAACATACTTCAGATGATATGTATACTCGAAAATAACGCCTTTCATTAGCTTTTTTTCTTCAAAGCGTGTAATGGTCTGAACGGGCCAAAACGCTTTAAGCCAAATAAAGTGAAAGCGAAACAGCTGCTGATCATCCGTTCCTCCTATCCTTTATCTTGCTTTATCACACATCCTCGCGTCACCTTGATTGTCCTGGGCAAGTTGCATGCGTCAATCACCAATGGGCTGAGAGCCCCGTTGGAAGGGGGACCTCGAGCAGATGTCCAGCACCAAGAAAAGAGAGATTCTATGTTTACTTGTGTAGTTCCAACACCAAATTCCGGCACCGGTTCGCGGTGTACTGCATGGTAATCCGTCCCTTATATATATATATAAATTGCGCAGGAGAAACATGCCCCCATACCATGTTCTACACGTACGAATTGACATCCTACAGCGTTCAAAGATGCTCCTTTTAGAAATGCTGCCGTTTTCGTCCGCTTAGCGACCACCATCTATACTGGCAAATGGACCGGCACCGCGCGGCCCACGGAGACTGCAACGTCGGGCATCGGGGTTCTAAGGCTTGGGAGCTCGCGCGGTCAAAGCTTTGCTACGTAATTCTTACACTTATCGGTTCTGAGCAAGAGTTAAATTTTCCCAGACGAGCATGGTCGCTGAGGAGCCAGCTCAATCTCAAGCCGAAGCAACTTTTTTTTTTACCATCAACGTGCTGCGCGTGACGTTGATATTATGCTCGTTTCAGTTGACGTACATTCGAACTGAAGAAGCGAGCTTGAGTTGCTTTCCGTGAGTGGCATAATAGCCTAGAACAGTGTCTCCCTGAATTACAGCTGGTTCGCAATGCGTGTTTGATGACGTGGGCGTGGAAAGATATCATCAAGAGTAGGGTATGTACTTCAGCGTTTTGGGGAAAGGTCGGTAACCATTTTCTGAAATGATGCGTGAAGGACTGCTTATGCTTCGTTTAACATTAACTGAAATACATATAGTTTATCGACGACATCTCTGGAATGTCGAGAATCTTCATATAAATGGGATGCCAGACATATTGTGCCATAATGCCAGACATATTGTGGACACTATTCTTGTGAGTGCATAAATCTATACGCCAAACAACTACAGAAGCACAGAATGATAAATTGTGCACAGATTTCACTTTTCAGTTCGCAAGACAGGCGCAATTGCACCCATCCAGGTTCACAAAACAATTACATTTATATGAAGCTGATGCGCCAGCCTTCCATGTTATTGCTGGACTGCGCACATGCGCTAATAAAAATATATGGCAAGCGTAGTCTACACACACACAACACACATATATATATATATATATATATATATATATATATATATATAGTATATATATATATGTGTGTGTGTGTGTAAACTACGCTTGCCATATATAACATACGTATATATATATATAGATATATATATATATATATATATATATATATATATATATATGTATGTATATATATAACATACGTATATATATATATATATATATATATATAGGATAGCGCAGTTTTTCGTACTTGTCTTCTTATTGCGACTTCCATGACTCTGGCCCAAACCAATCATCTTGGGAAATTCGACACCCATGAAAGACACCCACGTTATCGGCAGGCGGCCGTGACAGCACCGTGTTCGTACCCATTATGTAGGCACACACTGTAGAGCTGACCGGGCGGCGAAAAATAAGCCATATGAAAGATCTCACCGTATGCTGGATCTGCAGACCGACCAGCTGAGATGTGCTTCGCGTTTGCCGTATATTTCGCAAAACCATTAACAAAATGAGCATGTTTACGAACACTTTCACCGCAACATTATGTCGCGTGCTATGACGGCACGCATTGTGGTGAAGGAGGTGCACAGTGATGGTCATGAGTCGTACTCCCCCATTCGGCACATTGTGGTGGAAGCCCGTCGCGATTATGAAGGATAGCGTTCCTCGCACCGCGCCCAAGTAGATTTAAAAAGCCAGACCGCCTCATTGCCGGTGGCCCACATCAAAGCCCTGCATCACGAAACAAGATGAATAATGGGCGACCTGAATATGTAGTGAACACACACACACACAACCCCGCAACAAAATCAACCTTAAATGACCAATGTGTAAATATAAATGCCCCGTAAAGACCGTGAAATATCACGAACTTCGGAAAAACAACCACACGTATTGAGATGATCACGGGGCACTAACAAAAAAAAAAACACCGTTGTAGCTTGCCGCAGATTATCAGGCTGTGACTTAATGGCGGAACCAACGCAGCCAACATCAAATAACCGTTCCTCACATATTAGTATCTGCGCAACGCTCCTGGTGACCCCGCCGCAAGGCACACTGGTTCAACACATGGCCGGTCCGGTGCGTGCGTTCCGTGAGCCCGACAGCCAATCATCAGCCCAAGACCTGGTCCTGAGCCAGTCACCGACCTGCTCTCGTCGCCCGATGGTCGAGCTGGGTCACACTGGCCGCCCCAGCGGTGCTGACCACACCAGGGGCTAGCCAGCGCCCAAACTCCACCTGCACAGCCGACTGGCCTCACCGGGCGTTGGGCCTCAGTCCGCTGTCGAACGGGCACTTTCCAGGGGGGCCGCTCGAGACCCCGCGTCCCTGGTGCCCGTTCGCCAGCCGCGGCAGCCGGGCCGGTGGCGCCCCCTGCGTGCTCCGGCTCCGGCCCCGGCAAACGGACGCTTCGCGGCCGGCCTCCCGCCGTCGACGCGGTCGCCCCGGACGGCGCGGGGGCGCAGCGCCGGCGCCGTGCCGTCGCTGTCGTCGTCGACGGCGGCGTTGAGCAGGGCGGCGACGCGCCGTATGCTGCCGCCGACGGGCTCGACGCAGGGCACCACGCGCGCCGGCCGCAGGTAGCG